CGAGGTAGCGGCTCAAGGTTGATTGAAACTGAGATATGGTCTTGCAGCATCGGACATCATGCAGCAATCTGTTCAAAATATTGGCGTAATGAGTTGCGAAAAATGAAGACTTGAGCTGTTTGGACGCGTGCGCTAGAGTGACTAGACAGTCTTGGTCCCTAAGATTGTAGGGGTTTTGCCAGATAACTTTACTGCATCCACATCGGTAGTCACTTGATGGTGTAAGACTTCATCGAGAATTCTGAGGTTCAACTTCATTCGCTCTAACCACATAGGATCTAGTCGATTAGCGTGGCATCTGCCTCCGTATTAACCACCAGGGAAAATAAGTCTGGTAAAGTGTCATCAAGCTTTCCCTATTTTCTGATTGGCACTGTACCGCAGACAACTAAGAACAATAGGACAGTATTCTAGTGGTGGTCGCACACACACCTTGCACAGAATCGGTTTGGTTCCATTCAGATGAAATGTCCGGTGAATGGAGCCGATGAGGCGGCGTGACTCGGAACACTGTGCCTTTCCGTGTTCTGCAAAGGAAAGGTCACTGGAGTACCTTATTCCAAAGTCGCAGATACTACCCAGCTGTTGGAGCACAATGTTGTCCAGTCGAAGATTAGTTGGCACGCTTTGTTCACCGAAGAACATAAGGCCTGACTTCTATGTATTCAGAGGTGGCGGCCACGTGTCACACCATCTTCGTAGCTTGTCAAGGCCGTTTTGTATGATGGTATTGGTGCTACCACATTCATTAGGGAGAAAAGTGTACATCACTTTCAAGTTATCCGCAAAGAGGGAGGTTTTTTCCTGATTGAAAGCAGGCGCACATATCACTTATATACATTATAAAGAGAAGGGGTCCGAGGACGGAGCCTTGGATAACGTTTCTGATGATATTTCTGGGAAGGGAACAATGTGAGTCTGTGTTGACAACTTGGATGCGATTCAACAGAAATGAGCCGATCTAGTCATGCAACTTGCTACTTATTCCAAATGGATTCAGTTTCTGAAGGAGTGAGGGTTGATGCACTTTGTCAAGGGCTTTGGTGAAATCGAAGTAAAGTGAGACAACCACTCTTCCATCGTCTCCACTGTTAATTACGTGTTCGAAGAATTTTAGGTGACACGTGATACAAGATTTCTTGGACAGAAATCCATGTCGCGAGTACATAGGCTTTTGATCTGGAAGGTGAGAAAAAATGACGTTTCTCACTAATTTCTCCATTATACGCGAAAAGATAGATGTTATGTTGATGGGGCGGTAGTTTTCCGAGCAGAGCCTGGAGCCTTTCTCAAAGCACGGGGTAATATGACTAGTCTCCTGTGAAACTGGGAAATCCCAGGTATCCCATCTACTCCGGCAACAGCAGAGCTTGGGATATTCAGGAACGAGACAATGTTTCCAGAGTCCCATATAAAGAATCAGAGTCAGATACGAGCCGTATAATATGAGCCTAGGGCTTCTGAAACAATATCTAGCAAGTGTACAGGATTTCCTAAGGGCAGATGCACGAACACGAGTCATCCCCAGAACCGCTTACCCATCTAGTTCTTACCCTCTGGTATGGCCAGGAATTCTGGATGAAATCAAAAAATAACGACCAAGCTCAACAAAAACACTTAAAAACTAGAATAATCAACCCTTTTGCAACTGCTTTATCCAATGGATTATCAGCAATAAACGACTCGCACCTGCCACGTTTATATTGCAGTCCTGGTAAGGTTTATCAGCATTTTCTGGATAACGAATCAATTTAAAGGCAGAAACCTACCAGTACGTTGGAAATACAACTATGCAGTAGCACGATAAAGCTGTTGATGGCTATATATTCAAGCCTTCCACAAAACAGATTCTGTTCTTGATGGTATACCATTAGTGTTTCTTTAATGTCATTAAGGACTTTTCCTTACGAATTACAATTGTGACTGACAAAACTCCTAGTTATGAGCTACGACTGGCTTTTGAAAAAGTCCACCAGAGTAACTGTATTTACGGAAAGAATTTAAAACAGAAGCGCCGGTGTTAACATTCTTATTATCCTACAGCATTTATTTAGTCCTAGACTGATAATTCATACAGACCACTGGTCTGCCTATCAAGGACTAACCTACCTTGGATAAATGGATCTGACGGTTAACCACAACTCTCACTTGGTGGCCCCCTTAATAGAGATACACATATCTCATCGAAGCGTTTTGGTCACAACTCGAAAACAAAATAAGAGCAGTTTGTAGTTTCAGAATGGAATGATCTACTGCCATTTAGATGAATTTATGTACTGAAGTTGAATTTAGTTACCTATAGATACACTTACGCATAACACATTTAATCGACATGTCGCTTAAAACCACCTATTATAAGTAGTTTTGCATTCAATACTTTTAGCACACCATTTAAAGAAGTTCTCATGTCTGCGTTCTGATTGGCTGTTGAAGGTCAGTTGTGCTTTTGTTGAATTGGGTCGTAACTGTCTCATTTCAGCGAACTCTGAAGACAACCCTAACTCTTCTTTTCAACTAAGATACATTGAATAACCTTCACCTCAAAGTCTCACATTACCCACATAATTTTTCTGGTCTAAACCAATTCATACCATCAGCACCACCTTAACCCTCCCTGTTCATGCTTCCATCCCTGAAGTACTGAGCACTACAATGTACCAACAAGCTCTCCTGACTTACATTCATCCTCTTCCAGATCCACTCCTTAAGTAGTTCATAAGAATTGTGAGCCATCCCTATATATTTTCACATACCTGCCTCCTCCTTCCTCATCAGTCAACCCTAAACTCTAGTGATAATCAATCATGATATTCGGTCAGTCTCGTTGTACAACGTCAGTTCATTCGCCTCCACTTCAGAATCTGTTCCAGTTATCTTTGTCCCTCCGAAACTCTTAGAACCATATCTTCAGCAGTTTCTTGCCTTTCATCTAACCATTGTACCTCATGCAGTGCTTTAGATGGGTCTACTGAAAATACTGGCCTTCTTATTCATGATCTATTGAACCAATTCCCACTTGACTCAACCTCTTTCAGTCCCATTCTAACCAATGCTCCCTCCGAGTAATCTCTCCTATCTCCTGGCCTATTGATATCGTTATTGTAGAAGCTTGGTGTTCGCAAATTGATTCTGGCTCCTACTTTTAAGTAGATGAATTAGGAGACATTCCAGACAATGCGTCGGCTACGGAGTTATTTGCTCCAGATATTTAGTGAACTTGGAAATGCAGGCCAGTTTCAGTGAGTACTTATCTGGTATTAAGTCAAGAGAGAAGGTTAGCGGTTTGTGGTCTGTGAAAATGATTAGATCACGACCTTCAACCAAATGTCAAAATAGTGCACAGCAAGGAGTTTCCTACCAAATGTCCAAAACTTGTTTCCGCCTCTTACAGCAGCCTTGAGAAAAAGGTGGCTCCAATCGTTGATTCAGATGCAACAGCGACACTCAAAGGAGTATTGATGGCATGATGCATAGGCATGGTTGCATTTGTGATGACTTTCTTGACCTTAGAGAAAACAAGTCTAGCCACATTACCCAGCATCACACACTTTATATTCCCTCGGAACATATCCCTAAGTGGTCGAATGAGAGAAGTGCAGTCGGGAATAAACCCTCAGTACTAGCTTACTAGGTCGTTTAAAGTGCGAAGCTGATTTACAGCGATCAGCTCTGGGTATTATAGAATAACCACCAATTTATCTATGAATGGGCATATACCTTTACTGTCAATAGGATTTTCTACCATGCGACATTTATATGCTGGACAGCTACGTGTAATGCTAAGATGGGATGAAATAAGTTGCTGTGTTGTACGCTGTGACTTATGGCTCCAGGTTCGTAGAAGCTGTTTTACAGAGTTACGTAGCTGTCATTTCTGAATCCTGACCCATCGGTTTTCCGATGACAGAACATATGTTGGAGACGGATTTACTAAAAGATCTCCAGTATTTTATTAGCTTAGGCTGCTAGCTCATCGATGGCAACCGACTGAAGTGTCACCATCACGGTTTGCACCGGCTGTAGTAGTTTCTAAAGGAACAGTTCAGGGGGAAAACTATCGTCGAACGTCCGTTGACCAATGAATTCTTGCATGCGTGCGAGCATATCAGCATCTGAGTTGTTCCTTAACTGGATTTTACGTATTAACTCGTCTAAGCAATGACGATCTGTAAGATCACTTCTCTTCAAAAGGGGTACTTTGAACAGCATAGGAATACCTTACTTCAGGGTTGGACATATATGCTGCAACTTACTGGTTTAATTCTTGCGATAATGATTGTATGACAGCAAGAAATCGAGAATGTGAATCTGTGACGCTTGTTCTCGGAAATCAGCTTCGGTGTCCAGAAACCATGTTTCTGCGTTGTCTGGCCAGAACGGCACGAGCTGGGTCACGTGAGCTTAGGAGTCTAGTTGCACAAGGGTATGGGAGTTTATAATAGAATTTTTAAAAATTATCAATATGAAAACAGAAATGTATAAGTACAAAAAGGAAAGACCTCAGTAGGTTAAGAACGGGTCTTACGCAAACTCAACAGACGCAAATGCCAATCACCAATTGTTTGTAGTTGTTGTTTACATACGAGTGCAAGACCAAGAAAGAACACAATGGGGTAGGCAGGTGGAATACTACATTTGGTAGACCATGGTAAAATACCGATGTGTTCCGGCTACACAACCGCATACAAGCAACCCAACGTAACACAAAGTGTCATGGCTTTTGAAAGCATTTTCTGATATATGTGATTGTCATGCAGTCATTGTCTGATATCTTGATATAACAGGCAAAAAAATTAGGACAAGCTTCGAGTATATGATCGAAAACTGTAGAGGTGTAATCAGCCCTTATGAAGATCTTTTAAGTGGATTGAAACGAAACTGCGCGAAAGAGGAAAGGCATAGGCATTTAGGAGCAACACTGAAGGTATGACATGCTAAAACATCTGAATGGCACAACAACAAAAGTTAATAGATTAACTTGCAAAAACTAGAAGTAACCCATAAACTTAATAAAGTGTTTATCATACAAAATCATAATATACAGAATAACAATACAAGACATCAAACAGGATTTATCGTTTTTGTATTAAGTGTTTTAACCGCATTGATCAACATTTTAATTTCTACAGTTTCACGTCGAAGTTCATCTGACACTACTTCCCACTGATTCCCTTCACTGCTATCTTCAGTTTTCAGGAATATACCAGGAAAAGAACCACGGATAGATGATTTGCCTATTTTCCGAAACAATAACATTTGTCTTTCCAACTTGGTACGACGATTCTGAAGTGTTGATAACCACTGTCTAAGACCTTTGTGTAAGCGATCACGAATAACAAGTACTTCACTATGCATTGCTATTTCAGCTTTGGTAGGACCTTCACCTAAACCTAATCAAAAGATTAAACATTATCATACAGATAACGTGCGCTAACAACAGTTCCAAGAGGCTGCGAAAACACCAATAATAAAGTTATTTTAAGGTTGTAGGTAAATATCAAGCAAAAGTTGGGCAAAATTAGGAGCATTTAACAATACTCTAGTGATTAATGGCACATGACATATTAGTTCTCAATAGAAACCTGGATATATATTGTTGGTGCGACGCCGACTGACTGTTGTTATCTTGAGGGGTTGTCCGGTTTTATATCATGAGAACTCAACGAGCTACACTGGATGGAAAAACCCTTACCGTGGTCCTAAGTACGACACTAAAGGCATTTTGGATAGTGGTGAGACTTAAAATAGTTATCATCAGTGTAATTAGATTGAACTAAAGTGGCGGGTCGAAGGGTTGAGTCTCACTGCTGGCTGAATGGAGTACAACAGCAGTGAGATGTGCCCTGTATATATCAAACACTTTAAACGGGTGATTTCTCATAGAGTTGGGGAAGGGGGACCAAGAGGTGGCGCTGAAGGTAGCCAAAATTCTGGATTCTTTGGCCATAGATGTGTGCTGATTTTTTGAGACATCCATATAGGTCCGTAGTGTGGTGATTCGTTTGACGCCATCTAGCAAATGTAGTGAGTCTGCGAAATTCACCTTGAGTGTGTGGAGTTTGAAGGTTTCTCCCTGCAGACTCGTTGGTGTATGAATAGAACTAAGTAATTGGTTCATGACTAAATACTGATTGATATCCATCTTGCTTGGCAGGATGAATTTTTAAAACCAGAAACGACTAGAACAGTCAATTATTTCCGTTGGAAGTTTCTATTAACGAGCACAAGTACTATTTGGACGATACAAGAGATAATTTTTACCGAAAGCTGCAAATTTAGCTACACATAGTGAAACTTCCAGACAAATTCATACCAAGCTGTGACTTCAATTATTCATTCATTTATGAAAATAAAAACAGGAGTAAGTCATTAGAGTTGTCCCAAAGATGCATCCGAAGAGACAATCACCATTTTCGTTTCACTTTCCAGTAATAGAATAAATACGAAAACTGTAGCACGCTCATCACTGGCTTCGATTATAAGCCATGTTTGATATTATCCCAAGTTACTGAGTTGGAAGTTTGTTTTGAGTTCAACTGTAAACCTATACCGCTGGCACCGGAAGACTGTAAGGCAGGGAGGAGTGTTCTATTTTGGGGATTAATCTTTTCTAACCCTTCCCATAGGGAAGGCAGCATCCTTATGACACTACTGGTCGTCTGGAGAAACAGTGTGATTTTATTACACCTCGTCCAACCAGCGGTACCTCACCCTCGCATCCCCACCACAATAATGTAGGAATTCACACTATAACGGTAACTGCTCCTTGTCTTAGTACAATTTAACAAACCTTTCTGGTATGATAGGACTTCAAGGGAGAAATTACTGGACTAGTATAGTTCAATGGGCCATTTCGATAGATAAGCATAACTACAACGCCAAGATAGCACTTATTGGTTGAGTTTCTTTTGAATGCACAATGACGGTTTGAATTTTGAACTGCTAATGCTCCAGGCACTCCCAGATGATTGTTACTGGTCTCGGATGACTTGGTCTCACTTTATATAAAACTTTGAAGAATTTTTCAAAATGGACTAAGTGTCTTGAATTTACTAAATGTTCTGCTAAGGAGCTGAAGATTCATTTCTCTTCTCCTTTCACCAATCAGGCTGGATAGTGTCTACTAGTACTTTTCACCAGCTGGAGTATGGTACAGTAGATGCACTTTAACTGTTGATTTAAGCCATGTAAAAAGTCAAGACTGCCTGGTTCCGGTCTTCAAAACGACTAGAATAAATGATTGAAGATTCTCGGTGCTATGGGTCAAAGTCAATCACAATGGCGCAGATATATACACACATTTTGGTCTTCAAAGTTCTGAATACTTTCATCAACCTTGATCTATTTGTTCTTTCTTTTCTCATACACCTTTTTATACTTCCATACCATATTCTTTCACTCCACAGTATGCTGCTGTGAAGTGAAGCACCTCTGTGCAAATTTCTGTGTTGATCTGTTCGTTTGCGTATCATTACATGTGACGACAAATGTGAATAAACTCTATGCATCTGTATCAGGATTTCGTTTACCACTCATCCTCACAGGTTTATAAGCGGTCAGCACACAATAATATCACTCCATAATGGCAAACAGATCATCAATGAAAACAAGTCATTTGGTAATATTTCGATTTAAGTTTAAAATGCAAAAAATTAAAAACCACATTATGTATGCTGCTCAATAAGGAGATCAAACTCTAAGAAGTGGATAGAAAAGGTTTGATGTCCAGATGCACTTTGATGATATTGTTGAAAAAGATTTGATATAATCAACTAAGATAGTTAAGAAATGTATCTAAAACCAGCCAGATTCGAGGTCGAAATTGAAGTGAATCACCTTCCTATAATGCAAACTCATTTACTGTGGCACCTAAAATCCGTTTTGTAATAATGGTAATTCAACCCTGCTTCTTACTGGTGTAGACCTGATGTAGTTTTAAGTTATTCAGATAAGTTAGAGAAGTGACTCAGTTGAATGGGTTTCCGACTACTGACCAGATGAATAACAGATACGAACTTCATTGTGCCAACATTGGCATGACTAACCTAGTAGTATCATTAACACTCACATATTAGGTGCGACATAATCTATTACATATACCAGTACCAGGTTACGAAGTTTCACTAGTTAGAAGCTAACTACCTCCAAAAATTGGAAGTCATTTGAAACAAGTTCTGTACTACACTTAATGCTTATTTACGTTCACTACCAATGAACATCTTCAATTTTAAGAAATGTATTTTAAAATTTAGAATAGATCAGCCTGGGTAATGCACATAAAGTGCAACAGTCATACAAATTTTACTTATTTTCTCAAAAACTAGGGGAACTAATAATTCTATTATTTCGCTAAATTCTCGCAACTCTTCATGATTTTAAATGAGATCATTAACTTGCAGTGTGTCTGTTTATAAACCAATAAAATCCTTCATGTCTCTGTAAGTTTCGGTAGTTGTGAAATACCAACAGTTCAATGAACTAAGCCCATATTTCTTCTTCCATTTGGATGAAGAATGAGGAAGAAACACATATGGAACGAAAAGAATATTTGTATGTACATTACATCTTTTTAGTGATGAAAAATTGACCAGAAAAAAATAATGCTATGCTCACCAGCTAAACGACTTGCCAGAGTAGCCATACGCTTGTCCAACATAGCTTGGCGTTCAGTGATTACAGCTTGACGTTTTGCTAAGTCTTCAGCTCTAGACTGCAGATTTTGTCGTTTTGAGCAAAGTTTCGCTGTCTCAGAATATTGAGCTAATAAAAGATCTTGCAACCTTCTTGAATGCTGTTCAATGAATGAGCGAGCTTTCATCAAACGATCCAAAGGTCCTTTACGCAGTGCATCAGATACCTAAGAAACCAAACGTGATTTTAAAATGACTCAAGCTATTCCATCTTATAAGTTATAAAAGAACATTACAGTAGAATTAGAATTAGAGATAAACCCTTAATAAGACAAACTGAGGGAAATAAGAAGGGTTTTTAAAGAGAAGTTCAATAGAACAGCTGATAATTTTATGGAGAAATTACAATCGGTAGGGATAAAAATGCTAAACCCTAGAATAAAATCATATTTGCAAACACTGTCCTTTTCGGCATTTTATAATTCAACTTGATACCGTCTTTTTGCCTCTTAAATCTACACTTCTTGTGTTTTTCCATGTTTTGATATATAATAGTGATATACATTCTTATAGGTAGCATTCACCACAGTTCTAATTAGATAATAGTTGAAATCAAAGTTTCCTCGTATTATAGGTATACCAGTGATGTGATTCACTGTTGAACTGGAAGTTTAAAGTACTATAGATATGACAACAAAAAACTCCATTTGGTGGAGATAAAGAATAACAGCCACAACGAACAATCAACGAGGTTTCCAGCAAACCAAATATAGGCATTGGGGGTATCCGACAGTTAGCCTGCAGAGAGGATTCATGGAGAAAGCTGCGAACCAAAACGCTAACACGCAACTACCTATTATTCAAATAACAGCACTGCTTGACACGAGAGTATATACGGGGTAGTGGTCGGCGTAAACTCCAAATGTCATCCTTGGGACGTCTTTTGACATTCCTGAATTTATGCTTTTTAAACATGCTTATGATTACTAAAATGCCTTTTCAATGTTCAACGATTCTGACTGGCTGTTTTGAGATCATTTGATTGGTTTTCGGTTGTAACTGCCACTATTTATCTACGCCCTACACTTTACACTATTAATTTGAATTAAGCACTATAAAAAACATACCTTAATGAAAAATTGTACCAGTTGTTGTTGAGTTAGGCCAGGTTGCAAATTTAGAGCTGTTATTACTGGGAAGTGCGAATCATCGTCAGATAGTATCTGATGTATGTGTGATGTGAAATCTGAACGGCCAGAAGCATATGATGAACCGCATTTACCAGAGGCTCTGTGAAGCATAAAAAAGAAAGGGATTTAACAAATCGCTGATTATATCGTCCGTTATACGATATTTAAAACACAGTAGCAGTAACAGGTTTAGATGAATGTTGCATTGGAGTACATGTAGGTTGCCTAACCTGTGAACATTGGAGTGACTCCAAAAGCCGCTCTAGCAACTACTGAAACAACTATAATTAAGTTAATTTATTCTGCGAAAAATCACTTCCATTCAAAATAGGGAAATCTAATCGGTTATTTCAGTGATTGATAGAGTGTCGTTTAGAGTCATTCACTGTGCATATTCTAGATTTTTGCGTTTAGGCACAAATCTGATGGGCTCGCCCTGGTGTGCATTTGCAATGTTTCATACCTGAGCAAAATTCTGAACAGTTGATCACATGATTCGCACATCCGCGAAGACTGCAACCATGTTTGCAAATTGACATGGTCTGAAAACTGCTACGAACTGAACTGTTGTAGCCACATCCGATCAAGTCCCACTTACAATCAGTTTGAGATATATATAAAGTACTAAGCCGGACGAGTCCACAATGCTGCTTAAGCGAGCACAAAAGCGAGTGGCTGACCTGCACTTTGTGATTGAAGTAATTGCGACAATCCACAAGGTGTAAGGAATTACATACGGTTGCTGTAATGAGGTGTGTTCTAGCTAGAGCTTATTGGAACTACATAACTAGAAAGTGACCTATGATAAAATTAATTCCATCCTGGATATATGAACTGTTACATGATTTTTACTGAAGATGTACAACTTGAGTCACTGCAACTAACTCTATGCTTCTGATGGCCCGTGTTAAATACTGACTGAACACAACAGTCTCTTTCAAATTAAAATAATTCTTGAAGCAACTCAACCCAGTGCATGTTTTTCACTAGGCTATGGAGCCACGCTTACTGCGTGAGGGTCTATGACATTATCAGGTTGTCCAAACTGAAGAATGCAAACTAAGATTTGAACACAGTATCCATTACTGAAAATTTGAATGCCTAAACCAAGAAGGTACATGGCATACTAGCAATGACTTCTGAAGTGAAATATAGCAATAAGTAAAACAATTTTCATGACGACGTACAATTTAACTGATACAAATATCATCCCAGGAGTAAAGATTAGTGAATACTGACCTCAAATCGGATCCATCATATCGCTGTTGCTTCATATATACGTCAGGCTTTAGCGTAAGGCTAATGGACTGCACCAGATAAGAATGATCAGTTCCACTGGCATTTGATTCGATTGACTGGATTGGAGCGCGTACAAGCAAAAGTGTTACACTTCTAGGAGGTCGGGATACATTCGACTTGCCAACTGTTCTGGATTCCAATTTACTCGTACTTTCTATCATCAAACCACTTGGTACCTCAAGAAAACCGGATAATCTGAACTTCCCTTCAGTCTCGTCATTTATCACACCAGGTGTCGAGACAGTAATCTGACCACAAACAAGATGTTTTACACACGACTGCCAATCTCGAATGCCTGATTTAGGAAAAGGATAGTTATCATTTACAGGTAAAAAAAATACTTGATTACTATTTAATTACAAGCTCCATACAACGTAACTAACAACAAATATAACATACGGAATATAAAATACTGAACCCATCAAAGAAGAGAAAGAATGATATAATAACCAGAAAACGGAAAACAGCAATATAACATCTATCCAACGAGCTACCACTACGCTTCTTCGTGTTTTTCTGTTCAGTGACAAGACACCTGCACAATCACTATCAGCTTCGAGTATGAACCACTTCAGTTAACTCTCTATGATAATGTTAAATGTGCCATAATATCCTACGAAAAGAGTTCGAATAGACCAATAGGTTAGTTACTCAAACTAATAACTCGTCGCTTTACAGCAATAACTGTTTAGCTCTCATCATTTATCGACCCTTTACTTTGCCAGAAAACACCTATCGTTACGAAAGCGAATGCAGAAACACATTTTGTGTTCAAGTCACCAGATGAAGTTTATAACGATGATTGCTGTTCACTGGTACCCTGTCTAACAGTAGGAAGTGAAATGGTAGAGTCCACTGACCACTTCACTTGTCTTGGAAGTCACATCAGACCTGATGGGTCAGTGGCCAACGAAATCTCTTATCGCATCCAAAAGGGTCGATTGGCTTTCTCTAACTTACGCCATTTATGGCACAGCTGTGATATTCAATTGCTGATTAACGGTTGAGTGTATTACGCTACAGTTCGCTCTATTATTACTGTATGGTTTTGAAATACCCATTAAAGATCGATGACACGAAAAAGTTTCAGATTTTCGACCAATTTTCCCCCATAGCATAGGCCATGTTTCGTGGTGTCACCATGTCAATAACGTAGAGCTTTAAACAGAAGAGGAAAGTAAGTTGGGGTTGTGGACTTTCTTCGACTGAGATGAATGGGCATTTGTAACGCATACCTAGTCACCGTCTACTTTACCGCGCAATACTAGCTGAAGTTGATTCAGGCTGGAAAAAATTAAGAGACGACCAGACTAAAACGCTACACCGGTCCCTAAAGTCTTTGACTGTTGGCTTGAGCCATGTAGGGAAATGAAAGCTTCCCGGTTGAGATCCGCATGACAACAGAAAACAGTGGTTAGAGACTCTCGGTGATATGGCCCATGATCCATCCCAGTGGCGTAGACGTATCTACATATCATCCTCCATTTAATCGTCATCCTGAATTCAGTATTTCCTTGTTCCTCCTTCTCTCTTTCTTTTTACTACTCTATATTGCCTTTGACCGGTTACTCTTTATTTCCTTATCTTTCATATTATTGTTTTGTTGTTTAGTGTGCTGACATTAGATGCGACAAGTTGGACTGTTGCACACCAATCCCACGCCATGCTGATTGTCTGTTTTCCTCGTGAATTATAAACTAATCTCCAAACAAGTAACATAGATCACAAGAAACCGGAATTACTTGCATGATGTTATCACTAGATGGTGACCCTACAGGGACGGCGGTGATCGAGAACAATGCCAATGCTCAGTCGGAAATGTCAAGTATCAAAGATGGTGAGAAAATCTTACGCAACTCTTTACAGCCAGAAACATGTTGCAACAGTAACAGATTTGGCTTGAAACGACGTATGCTTTGTTGGAGGGAGGCAATCAGCAGGAAGCCCTAGACCTAGGTTTTGTGCTTGTTGGCACTTGTCAGCAAGGCGTACTTGCACTGGGTAACGCAGGTTCGAATCGCATGAGGGACATCAGTACCATCGGAGTTTAGATACGCCTTGCTGACTAGTGCCAACAAACACAAAACCTAGATCCAGGGCTTCTTGCTGATTTCATCCATCCAACTAGCACCTATCAGAGTGCATCGTGATGCTGAGCTGCCCAGTCTGATGGCCACATTACAAAATGATCGATAGAATTCGATCAACAGTTAGGACTAGACAAAATGAAGTTGCTTACCTTCCAGTGACGTATGCTTTATTAACTTTTCTCACTATACAGTGGAAAACCTATTCTACGCCACATTGACGTCCTATACAACCACCATGATACGAAAGATTTTCTACTACCTTCAAATATCTCATGGCTACGTGCGACTGAAGCTGCAGGATTCTATCAATCTTTCAAAAGTGCTCCCTCATTCAAACAGTGAAAAGTACATATTTACGAACCACAGAAATGAACGAAATCAAACACACTAAGGCAAATATACGTGAGACAAAGTAGCACCATCATAACGAATAACACTTAGTAACTGAAAATGACTGCATTTCGAAATACGTGGCTTTCTTCGGTAGTTTCGCGGAATACTTCGGCTTCAGGGTGATTACTATAGTGTACTAACATTATTCATAGAAAGTGTCACATCAGAAAGAGATATTTCTTGGTTTTTAACAATGTTTCAACAGGTTAGAATACACATGATATGATTTATGTAAAGTAAGTCACGAACGACTGTTAGATTATTAATTCTATTGGTGATCTACAAAACTTCACTCGACAGACTGGTGAAGACGGATAGAGTTCTCGATTACGAAATTAAAGAGTACGGGTAAAATAATAAAACCTTACATTCAACGCAGTTCATGCAAATAATATCTCAACTCTACATTTCAGATGAATTTTAATCCACTTTTTTTGCTTCTTCGCCTACCTTCTTTACTTCCTTACATATTTCGCAGTTCTTACTTCATAGCCTCTACTGATTGGATGTTAACTCTTAGATCTCCTAGTGGTATCAGTCTATGTAGCAATTGTGTGATTTTACACAGTATACACTATAGTTTTGCCAGAATAATAACTCTTTTCTGCAGGATTAATGCAGACACCATTTCATTTGAAACAATAAAACTTATAAAGAAAACATACCCGTTACATAATATAGAACATGTTGAGAATAAGTTCCAAGTGTCTGATTAAGTTCACTGTTTGCATAATATATTACTACTAAGGGGAATAGTTTTTACATATACTAAAGAACTCATATGGCAAAGTTGTACGAATAGTTGCCGTAAGATATATTAGAAAATAAAAGAGAACTAGGATTGTTGAACACTCGCTTAGACAGACAAAAGCAATGTAGAACTTAGCACACAAATATATCAATTCCAGTTGCTACACTTTATAATAGCACACGAAGAACAAGTGAAGAGGAAAATGACTGATATCAAGCAGACAAAGGGGTATGAGGTAGAGGAAACTTAAAATGGAGGTTAATCAGACAGTCAAGCTTTAAAAGACGCAAAAGAGTGAATACATCTGCGCCATTGTGACTGATTTACAGCCAATCAATCAATATCAACATATGACCAGGCATTACTATGTTGATATTGATTGATTGGTTGATTGATTGATTGATTGGCTGTAAATCAGTCACAATGGCGCAGATGTATTCACTCTGCCACTTCGCTAAGTTCTCAACCACTTATTCTGATCATTTCAAAGACACTAGGTCAGACAGTCTACACCTCCCTACACGGCTCAGATCAACAGTCAAAGACTTTATGCACTGGCGCTGCGTCTTCATCTAGTCAATCTTAGTCTTCTAACTTAATCCAGCTTCTATTAGCATGGCATATCGAGGTAGGTGGTGGCTCGACATGCGCAAAACATGTCTAAACCAACTCAGCAGCTTAAAGTTCACAAGTTCATCGACTGAAGTGCACTATGTAACTCAGTAAATATATGCAGAAACATGCACTAGATAATGAGCCACAACTGTTTTGCCAAAACATCGGTAGGTGCAGTGGGGTTCGAACTCATGACCCACTAGATAGAAGTCAACTGATCAGACCAATGAAGCATAAACTGAGTGGATAAGTACACCATAGTTCTCAGCACCGGTATCCAAACCAAGAAAACATGCTAGATCAACAAACAATATAAGGTGCTGTCTAAGAAAGTTGAACTCTTTTACCAAGTTCTGATATGAAAAATGAGACCATGAATATACATACAAAACATATTGCTGCGGTCTGATTATGCGGACTTACATTACGGCCCCTTAAAACATAGCCAAGATTTTTTCTGACTCCCACTTAATTTTGAACCCAACACTAGTCCTTTCAAACTTCATGGTGTTACTCAGTACACCACTGAGTTACGACAATGACCACCCATGAAGTTGACATCATTTGTCTGAGTGACTTTTACTAACTGTCATTTGAAAAAATCACTCGTTATCTGTTGATACAGATCCAGAGAATACCAGTATGACTAAGTAATTGTTTTAATATTTGTAAGCAAAACTTTGTCTACCTTCAATGGCATATTTTTCAGAATCCCTCAATAATTCATTGTTGAATTCACTGCACCAAAGTGAAAGATTCTTCATCCACGGTAGACTGACAAGATGAATACCCATATGATGTATTACATAATAGCCTTCATGAGAGTATTTCATACCGAGTATTCTGTTTTTAACAAAATCACAACCAGCTATCGAATAATTGAATTCGACATTATCTAAAAAACATAAATGAGCTGGTTCAAGTGACAATGATCCAGAGCCAAACTGGTCGTATTCAGCACAGTTTGAAGAATGAAGTATATCATCACTTGTATGGTAGTAGCCTGCTTCGTTTCGTTGAAATGATTTTTCTTCTTGGCAAATTATTTCATTTGTAGTTAAATCAAGATCAACAATATCAACGAGACAGAGTAAAACTGATGGATTACTACTGGTCTGCATCACTGAAAAAAGGTAAGATAAACAAATTTTAATCATAAGATACGACAAAATGATACAGCATAATAATATTCATCGTAGACTGACATTAGTCTACGATGAATAACAACTTGAAATGTTTCCAAATCTCCACAACTCCCTCAAAATATGATAAAAATAGTAAGATTATTCTTTGATTACAACAACAAACTATTCATATCAAGAAGCTGCAATTTGATGGAATTCAAATTCGATTGTATTAACAGTGATAATCGACATCAAACCCAAAACAATTCATCACACGCAGTCATAATCATCAGGTTAGAAACTCTTAACATTTTTTTTCTTTTTCAAAGTCCAACTAAATAAAACATTGTTTACTAATCCAAACATTTTTAAGTTGTCGTTTTTGTGCCTTTTTTACGGCATGGACAGTGGTTCATTCCCACCAACCTATTTTTAAGTTAATTCGCTGACTGGTTAATGCTTGCTTTTACCCTGTTAATGTTTCAAATTCTAAACGTCATATCTTACGTATTTTTGAATTAATTGACTGTTCTTCTAGAAAAATAAACCCTCCCATCTAGTCCAATCAGCTTCTCTATTTCGTCCAGGGTTGGAATTGGTGGATCTTGCGTATGAAGTCAGCTGTCATTTAAGCATGCGTATTATATCCTCTCAGGAGATTACAGTTGGCGCGGGAGCTGTTAAAAATGGAGGCACAGCGACTAGAAAAGTTGAAGGGGTACCATGCGGTGATGGAACTGCTTGCTGGTTTGTCACTCCATCTGTCTCCACTTCGTTTTTCGCTGATGATGCAACTGGTCCCAGTATTTCGGAGTTTGTATACGATCCAGATATCAACGTCACCTTTGATACATGGCTCTGATGAAATGAAGACTCATTCAGGGTTGATTTTGCAAAGCAAGATGATGCATGAAAAGTTTGGCTTCTGCTCCGAAAGCTTGGTCTAGATGAACTGGATGAATATTATAATTTTATCCTTCCACAGAACCCATATGATGGAACATTTGATGAAACAGTAGAAACGTTACTTCAGCAGTTTGGAGAACATCGCTCATTCTTCAATGCCCACTACTATATAGCATGAAGCTAGTACAAAATAAAGATGATGATATCTATACTCAACTTAGGATTGTGAATAACGCATGTGAAAGACACAAGGTGAAATCGCTAACAGATGAACAGTTCACAGTACTCACATTCGTTTGTGCTTTTTAGTCTCCAAACTTCGCAGATATACGCGCCCGCCTGATGAATCGTCTGGAACAAAACCCAAAGTTGACGTTGGCAGATACTGGTGAGAAATATCAGCGATTAACTAACATGCGTCAAGATACCACCCTGATACAGACTAGCGACCAGAACTCAACAGAAGTGCATACTATCAAACACCCAGCAGTCACACCCGGTTCCACATCAGGTAATGCAGCACGCCAATCTACAAATAGAACTCGGCAAAAACCACCATTTTCATGTTGGCATCATGTGAAATCGTGCCCCTTTAAACAACTTAAGTGTCGTTATTTGTAATACGGTGGGGCATAAGGATGGGTTTTGCCGCTAACTAGGTTTAGCAAACAGAAAAAAAAACCTTATCTCGACGTCAACCTACAACAAGATCCCTCAGCATCACGGCTACTTTTCATACTAGTAGTCCAGTCCAAAGGAAGTACATAACGCTTAACATAAATGGTCAACCTGCACGCCTCCAAGTGGATACAGCGGCTGATATCACAGTGATTTCCCGGGAATTATGGTCCAGCCTCAGTCGGCCAAAACTGTTGAGGACGACACAAACTATCAGCTCATACTACGGTAGGCTTCAGCTGGTACGTCAATTACGCTGCTGCATTTCATTTAGAAATACTGCTTTTAACGGAGTTTGTTACATTACTGATGTTAATTTTAACATTTTAGGTTTCGATTGATTCGAGAGTTTGAAACTTACCGACCTCCCATTGAATATGGTATGCAACAAAACGGAAGCACCACCAGCCATCCCGATGAACCCTACCGATATTATTACTGAATATTCAGACGTTTTCTAACCTGCCGTCGGTCACCATATCACGACCAAGACCATCCTACGCCCGGAACCAAATGCATCACCTGTTTTTTGTCCTAGAAGGGTCATCCCACATACGTCGTTACCTCTTGTCGACGCAGAACTGAAACTTCAGGAACAGGGGGTTGTTACTGCAATATTCCATTCTTCTTGGGCTTCGCCAATCGTTGTTATAAAGAAAACTAACTACTCCGTCCAACTATGACAAGTTCAAATGCTGCTTTGCAACAATATCATTAATCCTTGCCCGTTCTAGATGACTAATTTGCCACTAAATGGGAGAAAATATTTTGCAAAAATCGATCTACCGGACGTATACTTACAAGTCAAAGTCTCTCCAGAATGTCGTGAACTCTTAGGTATCAACACTCATTGAGGTCTTTTTCAGTACAATCGTCTGCCATTCGGCATTAAAACCACACCCACCATTTTTCAACATATAATGGATACTATGCTGGCAGGCATTCTAGGTGTTGCTGCATATTCTCGACGATGTCATAATAGTTACCATCTGCTCAAAAGATTTAACGAATTGAATACAGTCTGTCCTACAGCGAATCCTAGACAACGGCCTTCGACTCACAGCGGAGGAATGTCAATTCTTTCTGCAGTCAGTAAAATATTTAGGGTTCATCTTTGATGCAACTGATTGACGCCCCGACCCTGAAAATATTCGCGCTCCGTTCATTTCTCGGTCTCATCAGATACTACTCAGCGTTTCCGCCCTCCCTATATGATATACGTGAACCGTTAAATAGTCTTCTACGCAAGGATGCTGTATGGTCTTGGCCAAAAGGATGTGAAACTGCCATAGAACGATTGAAGTCCACTCTCAGCTGCGACCTCCTGTTAACATATCAGGACCTACGTCTGCCAGTGGTCTTTGCCGTAGATGCTTCCACCGCTGGTGTTGGAGCCGTCTTATTGCACGAATGTCTAGATGGTTTACCGAAATCTGTTATCTATCCATCTCGACCCCTTTTTGAGTCAGCGGGAAACGCTAGTCACAGATAGAGAAGAAAGCATTTACCTTGATTTTAGAGGTCAAAAGCTTTCAAAAGATGCAGTATGGGCGGAAATCTACCTGGTTCATCAATCAAAAGCCCTTCTTCGCAAACTTTGAGTCAAAACGCAGTGTTCCACCTCGTTTCGCCAATAGACTACAGTAGTGGGTAGTTAGATTATTGGGTTGTGATTTCGATATTAAACATCACCGAACAGAAGATTGGACATGCAGACGCACTTTCAAGGCGTACAAGTGGGTATTCTACAGACTGACCAGTCTTTCACGCCTAGTATTCTTCTCCTAACGCATACGATGGTTCCATCATATGCGAACAATGCTACAATGACACCCATAGTTAAAAACCTGTACAACTACTTACAAGTTAAAAAAAATTGAACGGACAGATAACAACTAAACTCTTTAGCACTAAAACCCCGAGTATTATGGAAAATGCTATCATGCCGTACTTCTAATATACACCTTTCAGCAAAAAATCCAAACAAACTTTCTATCGTGATCAAACTAAGAACAGAGCAAATGTAACCCGCAAATATACTGTATTAGACTTAATTTACACTAGATAGTCATGAAGTGGCAATTGATAACTCAATGTTATCAATTTATCTGACATCAGTTACTACTCGTTAGGTTGTTTGCAAAACAGTCATGAGAAAACCGTTTGTGCGAAAGCCAGAAATGCCATCTAACTGTTTATCCACAAGTAGTTTCAGTAGTTCCCGAGTCCACGATAAACGGTTAAAACCGATAAATCACAGCTACAATTACAAGCAGCTTATCAAACTCTCAAAAAAGTGGGTGCATGTAAACAGACGCTAAATAAATCAAATAACTAAATATGATGAAATCAAAGTTACTCAATATACTTAAATTCCTCAAAATTATATTTGAAATGCAGGACAAGTGGTGAACTCTAAATACCGCAAATATAAAGTTCAAACCTATAACTTTTCGTAAAAAAGATTTTTGTCACGATAGCTTTTTTCCAACTATCGAAACTAAGATTTCGGTAAAGCGATGAAAACGCACTGTACCATTATGTCATTCGACACCCGTTACTTTCTTATCCTTCTCATTTTGTTGATTTATTTTCCCCTTGTTTTTTCTACTTCTTGATGCTACTTTCAGTTCCTCGCTTAAAAATTATGGACACCCCTTTTCCAAAGTTTACATCTTGTCAGAGAATAAACGAATATCAGTGTATCTAGATATAGGTCGATGGTTACATCTATTGAACGTCAATTAACTCAAATATTGAGCTGTTTGTTTCCCAGATAGTGTGTGTATCTCCTATTTTCCAAGATAATTAAACGAGAACTTATTCATAACTTGAAACCGACATCCGATTGCTTGGGATTAATACGAGAATTAATAACCAGTGGTTGGACAGATTTCAATACTGAACACTAAAAAACAGATTAACATAGACTTTTGCTTCATTTTAGGCTGATATCTACGCACTAATGATTAAATACAAAACTCAGTAGCAAACGCACGAACAATGACGATTATTCAACCAAACTTTCGTCAATGATTCGTAGTTAAAAGACCAAATTTTTGTATATCGTGAAATATACTTAACCTAGTAAGTCTAAGTGCCAGATAGATTGCAGAGTGACTTTAAACCGTCAATTCAAGAAAAAGCAAGTTCATAAAGCATTAAGGATACCCTAAGGTTTTTAAATCAAAGTTCACAGTAAAACGAAACCGAACTCACCATTTTTATTCTGACTGGGTAAATTGGTCCGTAGAACAATACCGTTATGTAAACGACCAAATTTATCCGCCAACACAAGTAAATCAGGAGGTTTTTCAAATGGAAACATTTCTTGAATATCGACGGGACGTATACAATGAATAGCACAAAATCCATCACCATAATTATCGATTGATGGTGGTAAAATATGTAGAACATTTATTTTCAGCTGATTCACATTGCGAACAGATAAACATTCACATACTTGGATGACATCACCTGTTTATTGAGAAAACTTCACCATAGTATCACTTTCTATGGATTAATTCTTTCTTACAAATAAAAATATACAACACGCAAACATGACAGTCTTCGAAAAAGGATTTCTTATGAGCTGATATCAAGTCAGAGACAAGCAATGTGACCCCTGAGATAGACAAGTTACATTGATCACTATTTGCGGTTAAATCCTGAAACACCTGTCGATAGAAAACCTATCACAGAAAATCAAATGTTTCATGGAAAGTAAATCAGTCTGTCAATATCAACATGAGACCTACAAATACAGCAGAACCGCCCAACGTGATCCATCAAGGCAGAAAACGCCAAGACAATTAAAACAGCAGTAATGGGGAAAGTAATAAGACGCCGTAAAAAAAGAGGGAGGAAAACACGACGAAGTTTAGTACGATGCTTAATATGATAATATGTGAATGCATCTGCGCCACTGATATTGATTCGGATTATCCAACCAGCGATATCAAATATCATAGGCACGTCGACCGGAAAGTCTATACCCTACATGGTCCAAACCAACAGTCAGAGATTTCACTGACTTATGCCACGTGTTGGTGTAGCCACCATGAACCCCATTTCAACCTAATCTAACTTCACCTATAGTATGCCGAGACGGGAGGTGGCTCGGCATATACAACACATTTCTAAGTCGCCTTATTAGGCGAAAAAATATATCCACATCGGTTCACTTGTCTTCATCGCCTGGTACTCTTCGCTTAACACCAATATAGCTCACACGGTGATTCCACCTAACGCGAGCCGTGCAACGAAGATATCTATGGTCAAAACAAATATCCTCTTTATATAATCGATTTTTAACGACCATTCCTCGTAGCCTTATAATAGAACAGAACGAACTGCAGCGCATTGTACTTTTCTCTCAGTAAGTAGACAGATATTTCACCAGTTGGCACCAGAGGACGTCATTTGAAAAACGTCAAACGAGCCTTTACTCTCCGAGCTTTAATTTAGTCAGCGACCAGCCCGTTCAGGCTTATGCAATCCCCAAGTAAGTAAAGTGGTCAATTTGTCCGATCACTGTCATTAAAATAGGAGTAGTTGCAGGCCAGTCCTGGAGCATCATCTAATACTTAACTGGTGCCAGCGAAACGCATACCAAAACATACTCCAGTTTTCTGCTCAACGCGTCCAGAAGACCCTACATTTCGCCAGCCTCTTCACCTGGCAGCACAGTATCGTCTGCATTCTCCAAATTAACCGGATGGTGCTCAGGGAGCAGAAGTTAGACGTACCTAAGGTTATGTCCAGTAGTACGTCTATGAAGAAGTTAAATAGGAACGATGACACTTGGTATCCCTGGCGTACACCACTAGTTCTCCATAAGACCTTAAACGACTACATGACTTAGGATAGAGAGCATTGATAAGTATTATGCACGTATTCAGTGCTCGCATCAGTCATACACTGCGACAACACCTCACAGCCGACCGGGTCAAGTGCCACCTTCAGGTCAGGAAATATGGTAAGCATCGGCCACCGGTAGGTATGTTTGTGTTTGAGAACTTGTCGTAAGGGTTAAAATGTGATCGATTTACCCTCGTTCAGGTCTGAAACCTGAATTGAATCAGTCCAAACGGAACTGTTGCTGGCCGTTGAAAGAAGACATGAAGCAGTTACAGGGTTTTGATCATAGGTATCTTCTTACCACAGCTCGCGTTTGATAGGATCACCATGTGAGCTATGTTGAGGTCAGGCGAAGGCTACTAGGCAAAACAGGCAAGTTGATTGATGACGTTGTGGACCTCCATCGAATAAGATGGCTTGAACATGTACCGTGCTAGCTGGACTAGGTAGGAAGAGGCTTCAGGGTGGTCAGACCAGGACGTGGTATCTGTCCACAAAGATCCTTACTGCTGGTCTGAGCCCTTGTGAGGAGATGTAGACTACCTGTCTGAGGCCCCCGAGACGAAGCAAACCAGTGCTTGAGGACTCCTGGTGACATAGCTGAAAATAGGTCGCAGTGGCGTAGATGTATCCACTCTTTGACGTCTTCTAAGCTTGAACATTCACACTAACCTTTATCTTCAAATTGCTGATTCTCTCAAACAACTGTCTACTTTGATATCACTATTCTTCTGTCCACTTGTTTTTGTTTACTACTGTAAAGCGTGGCAACTTGAACCGACGCACTCGTGTGCGAGGTTCTGCGTTGATTCTGGCTATTTGAGATGGACTAGTTCCAGAGATATTTAAAGACAGTGCTCACGGATTTTAATTCAAGTTAAATGAAACGCTAACTAGTGGGTGGAAGTCAGATACGATCCTCTCCGACTGGTCTCAATCACTGATTGTCCGATTCTTCAATAAAAGCAAGAAATACTCCTGTGATAACCACAGAGGAATCAACCTGACGAATATAGTGTCTAAGATCCCAATGTTCTATAATCATCAGACGTCTGAGTTGAGCTCGGGAACACCAAGCCCAACAAAACCAGGCACGATTCAGACTCGACCGTGGGCGCATTGACCAGATATTCATACTCAGCTAGGTCTTGGGACACAGGTACACTTATCGACGCCCACAATAGCTTTATTTCTCGACCCGAAGGCGTCATTCGACTTCGACGATCGACAGGTTTCATAACAGTGTCTCTCACTGAAAGGGGTATCAGATAACCTGAACTTCCCTTCAGTCTCGTCATTTATCACACCAGGTGTCGAGACAGTAATCTGACCACAAACAAGATGTTTTACACACGACTGCCAATCTCGAATGCCTGATTTAGGAAAAGGATAGTTATCATTTACAGGTAAAAAAAATACTTGATTACTATTTAATTACAAGCTCCATACAACGTAACTAACAACAAATATAACATACGGAATATAAAATACTGAACCCATCAAAGAAGAGAAAGAATGATAGAATAACCAGAAAACGGAAAACAGCAATATAACATCTATCCAACGAGCTACCACTACGCTTCTTCGTGTTTTTCTGTTCAGTGACAAGACACCTGCACAATCACTATCAGCTTCGAGTATGAACCACTTCAGTTAACTCTCTATGATAATGTTAAATGTGCCATAATATCCTACGAAAAGAGTTCGAATAGACCAATAGGTTAGTTACTCAAACTAATAACTCGTCGCTTTACAGCAATAACTGTTTAGCTCTCATCATTTATCGACCCTTTACTTTGCCAGAAAACACCTATCGTTACGAAAGCGAATGCAGAAACACATTTTGTGTTCAAGTCACCAGATGAAGTTTATAACGATGATTGCTGTTCACTGGTACCCTGTCTAACAGTAGGAAGTGAAATGGTAGAGTCCACTGACCACTTCACTTGTCTTGGAAGTCATATCAGACCTGATGGGTCAGTGGCCAACGAAATCTCTTATCGCATCCAAAAGGGTCGATTGGCTTTCTCCAACTTACGCCATTTATGGCACAGCTGTGATATTCAATTGCTGATTAACGGTTGAGTGTATTACGCTACATTTCGCTCTTTTATACTTTGTGGCTGTGAAACAGCTGTATATTTATGTTAACACACTATTTTGCATTGCCTATTTTAGGGTACCCATGTCGCATCAACTTTGTTTCAAATAGATGGTACAGAACAAGACTATATAATATCACGCCTCATTATTACCTTCTTTAATTTAACTAGGGGAAATAACAGAAAAGTGCCGACTGAGAGGATTCTTTATTACTGAAATGCAGTCCAATGGTTAACATTTGTCCCGGATAGAAGTGAAACTAATAATTCATACATACTAGACACGAAATAATCTCGCCTAACTTACTAGTTTACTAGTTTATTTGGCAGTCCTAAGCCAAGATAAAGAGCGAGGGTTGAGCATAGGGCTAGCAACCCTACCCTGTCAAACCAATCCAATCGCTAAAGAAACTTACAAGCACAAGAAAAGTATGGAAAATAAAAATAAACTTATTCCTTGTTGGAATCGAGGAGACGAAATGTCGCCGACTGGTAAAAGCCTTCGGGAAACTAATTGGCCGATGTGTCTTCTCTCAATGAAAGCAAAAGTAAGCATGGGGACATGGAATGTCCGCACAATGAGATCTACTGCACTCAACATAAAGCGTAAACAAGATCCAGATTTCTAACACTAACATTAAGAAAAGCATTTCCAACAAACTACAGATACATCAAAAGCTGCTGCCTACGCTCGATACTGAATATCAGATGACCAGAAAGAATAAGCAAGGAGGAACTCAAGCTGGCGACGAACCAACCAAGAACCTATAGCCCAATAAATATGCAGAAAGTGGAAATAGATTGGGCATACACTGAGATTATTTGGGGACATCACGCACCAGGCCCTCGAGTGGAACCTTAAGGAGAAACGAGTTGGGCGTCCGAGGAGGGGGTGACATGGAGGAAATGGTGTGAGGAAGAAATGGAAGCTTCTGGGGAGTTGTGGAGCCAGGATGAAAAGACTGCGAAGAATAGGGTGAAATGGCGACGTGCTACTGAAGCCCTATTTTCCACTAGGAACCCAAATGACAAATAATAAGAATAATAATAAACAAAAAATAACACCACTCCTACGTTGTAATATACAAGTTTTATGCAATGAGAAATATTTCAAAGATTGAAGGTAAACATTTATGTAACCTTAGTAAGTAAATAAGAAACTAAGATTACCGAAACAAAAACTTAAATAATATCCTAAGTCAAATGGTTGTGTAGAATTTCACAGCACTACTAAACAGAGCACTAACCACATACAAGTAACAGATTTTAAAAGTTAAGCATATTCAGTCTGACACAAATATATGCTGTTATCTGGAATATCGACAAGTTTTGCTCACCAAAGCAACCAGAGGTTGCAATATAGTAATGTAAATTTCCCAAACGAAAAATGCGAAGACATAAAATTTCAAGAGGAAACAGAATTTCCTACCTGTTTCATACAGCAAAAATAAACAGCAGTCTTGTGCCTGAACTTCTGACAAACCACGTTTTGATGCAAGTTGGGGGGAACCAAAATCAAAGTCGATGCACTTGCTGCCCAAAGCGAGACTTAAATCCATTTTATTGTTAGACAATACTGAATATTCATCGTTTTCATCGCCAGAACTTCCATCTGATTCCTTTAGTTCATCATATGTGGCATCAAGGACACTATGAGTTAATGCACAAAGGTCTGCATCAAGCCACAAGTTGAATCGAATGCATTGGTTTTCTGAGGATTTTATACAGTGTATGTAATATACAGAGGAATTGTCAGTTACGACAACCAGAGTTCGACTAGAATTTGGGTGCCATCGCACCTTTACTATTACAGATTTTACTTTACACTGAGAAGAAATGTCTCTCAGATCAATAGCGCAGTAAATCGCACGAACAACTAAACCCTAAAAGAAGAAACAAAAGACGATGAGCCAAGAGTTCAACAACAAAACGAAAAAACAGAAATTACAGGTAACCCACCATATCTCTAAGTTAAGGGTGAAATTTTTCGATGACAGCTTTGGTAAGTTAAAAAGAAATCACTCCGCACGATACAACCACCTACTAATGCACCAAATTTCACTCCTAAAATGTAACGTAACTAAAACAATCAAAACCATCCTCCTACATCGGCAACTGCGCTAGACAGAAATGATACTGAACTAAAAACGAACAGTTCTTTGAAAGATTTTACGTACATAGACAATTCCAAAACGTTCAAAATTATCGTTATGGAGGGCATTGTAATTGCAGTCCAAAGTTAAAAAAATGGTAAAATTCACCATTAGATAATCCAATCGTTAGCTGCCACCTTCCCATAGGGAATGCAGTATCAGTTCGGTACTGCTAGTCGATCGCAGGAAAAATCTTATTACTGCCACATTATGTCCACTCATTAGTAAAACTTCGCCTTCAGATTCCCACCATCGCGTAAGAAATTTAAACAATGAGGGTAACTGCTTTTAGTCTTACCATTAAGCAACAGACCTACGTGCCACGGTAGCACCTCGAGTAACAAGCGTAGTGCCCAGTGTATGTCGTTGGGTTATGATATGCCAGCCCGATCACCACTTCCAGGTAGTAGGTATCAACCGGTACAGAATTAGATTTAATGAAGCATAAAGCGCACTTCTAGATAGGATATCAGTCAACAGTCGTCTGAATGGATCTATAAGAATTGGAAAAGATTGTGACACTCATTGATGCCAATTTGTGGTCTCCGTCTACCTCTATGGCAGCAGTTCGGATGATACAAAGGATAAATTCCATCAAAAATTGTCAATTTTTCTACATAAGGCGGAAAGTTCAGATAATCCTACTAGCTAGCCACTTGAACGGTCAAGTAGGGAAGCTGAGCTAATCGGAAAGGCATCTCCAGTATCTCATGCCAACAAACAAATGGTGATGGTATTGGCAGTTACTTGTTTCGACCCAGTACTAGCTTCAAGCATGAGACACTTTAACTTGGCATCCACCGACAACAAACTAACAGCGGACATAGACAGATCATACACTGCCTTAAGCCATCGTTGATCAGGTCCGGTCAAGGAACCCCACTGTTTCTGGGGTACTTACTTGAACCCCATAACGCATCAGTATGAGTACGTACATATATCTGCGTCTTATAGGTCACCAGGAACAGGTAAAAGTGAAGCCTGTATGTGTGACTGCAAGATGAGAACATCAAATGTGTATCTCAGGAGACAGTGAATTATTTATCTGAACATGACAACGATTCTTTTCCTGCTGAAGCCTGGTATAATATTCAGTCTGCCTTAGAAACGGTGATTAGGATATTTCGTGACCTACATCCAAAAGTTACCAACAGCCAGTGGATTTCCGCAACCTCGTCCAAATTGAGTGAACAAACTAAGTACAAATTGACCCAGCTTATTCACAATGACTGAGAACAGCGGTGAGTCACGAAAGTGAGAGACGGAAAAGGTATCAGGAATATTTAATACCCGGTAAAAGTTTAAGCTCACTAAAGATATCATCAACAAGAAGTTGGTTGGTAAAACCACAAAGAAATGGAGCAAGTAGTTATAATCTATAAGAATGGACGGCTAGAATGTTGACCTGAACACTTCGAAGTTCAGCAACCTGTTTCGAACCTGATATGATGCAAAGCAGCAGCACCTAACGGCTTCCCACCCGAAGGTTTTAAGTAAGGAGGTAGTAAATTACTGACTACAGTAACAGAGGTACTAGGTGTTGTATACGAATGAGAGGTAGTCGCATCATATTATTTCAGATCCCTGATCATTTCATATCGGATTAGTTTATTTAATACATGATGCACAGTGATACAAGATTATTTACTCTATGACGTTTAGAGTAAAAACTACGGCTCATAACTACATCAATGTAATCACACCACTTTTGACAACTAATTTTTATAGTCCTGTCACCTCATATTCTTTACTTTTATTGGTAGTAAAATCTCCCATATCTATGGTATATGTGTTGCATTACTCCCATTACATGTGAAGAGTATTAATTCGATGAACAAAGATTCAGTAATCTCTCTCTCTCTTCATTTAGGTATACTGGACTTAAGTACAGTAGTTTTGTAGTGGGTGCTGATTGGAATGGATATAAGTAGTATATGCAGAGAGTGAGACAGAAATCATAGGAAATTATCAGCAATGGGTTAATATTCTGCCCAGGGAAACGCAAGAGACAACGCAGGCATATTACGAGCAAATCAAGATACAAGCAGAAGAGGAAATGAAGCACATTGTGCAAATGACTATTTTAATGCAATATGTACAATATTTCATCACTACTGTACAAGATGTCAATAATAAACACTTCTTCCTGCGTCTAAGTCCCATCGTTTCCTATAGTTTTATCCCACCCTTTTATGTGGTTGTGTATTAATGCATGCATGAGAATAGTCGAGTTTCCGCCTGGATTATTGACCCTATTGAGAACTGTTACTCTATATTTAGCTAAATTCCTATGTTCCGCTAATCTAACTGACCCAGCTAGTTTGACCTAAGTACTTGACCTCACAATTATTGTATGGAATTTGGCAGGTTAGAAATGTCATCAAGTAAATAATACTGTATGACTGTGCACTATATATCAAACGAACAAATTTGATGTGGAATTACATCCTGCCACAGTGCACAAGCTTTGGCCTGATCATCCCAGTTTATAGAGAAGGAGATGAGTCTTCTTCTGACGAGCATGCAGAAATTAGTTTAACTAACATAGTGTCCAAGATACTAGGGATCACAGTTACACAAAGCCTAACTGGAGCGTGAGAAACGAGGGAGAAAATATCAAAACATTCATCAACTTTGTGCACGTTCGTGCAGTAGACAATAATTTATATATATATTGAGTGGTGGTTAGTGATACTACCTCGCTGTCTAAATCTAGGGAGCTAGGGTGGTGCTGGATCGCACGACCCAACGATTGGAAGTCAACTTTTCAAAGGCATGACCCACAGCTTTAGAACAATAAACTCGAGAAAACCAGGCAGGTTTCAGACCTGAACGAGGGTAAATCGATCACATTTTAACCCTTACGACAAGTTCTCAAACACAAACATACCTACCGGTGGCCGATGCTTACCATATTTCCTGACCTGAAGGTGGCACTTGACCCGGTCGGCTGTGAGGTGTTGTCGCAGTGTATGACTGATGCGAGCACTGAATACGTGCATAATACTTATCAATGCTCTCTATCCTAAGTCATGTAGTCGTTTAAGGTCTTATGGAGAACTAGTGGTGTACGCCAGGGATACCAAGTGTCATCGTTCCTATTTAACTTCTTCATAGACGTACTACTGGACATAACCTTAGGTACGTCTAACTTCTGCTCCCTGAGCACCATCCGGTTAATTTGGAGAATGCAGACGATACTGTGCTGCCAGGTGAAGAGGCTGGCGAAATGTAGGGTCTTCTGGACGCGTTGAGCAGAAAACTGGAGTATGTTTTGGTATGCGTTTCGCTGGCACCAGTTAAGTATTAGATGATGCTCCAGGACTGGCCTGCAACTACTCCTATTTTAATGACAGTGATCGGACAAATTGACCACTTTACTTACTTGAGGAATTGAATCAGTCCAAACGGAACTGTTGCTGGCCGTTGAAAGAAGACATGAAGCAGTTACAGGGTTTTGATCATAGGTATCTTCTTACCACAGCTCGCGTTTGATAGGATCACCATGTGAGCTATGTTGAGGTCAGGCGAAGGCTACTAGGCAAAACAGGCAAGTTGATTGATGACGTTGTGGACCTCCATCGAATAAGATGGCTTGAACATGTACCGTGCTAGCTGGACTAGGTAGGAAGAGGCTTCAGGGTGGTCAGACCAGGACGTGGTATCTGTCCACAAAGATCCTTACTGCTGGTCTGAGCCCTTGTGAGGAGATGTAGACTACCTGTCTGAGGCCCCCGAGACGAAGCAAACCAGTGCTTGAGGACTCCTGGTGACATAGCTGAAAATAGGTCGCAGTGGCGTAGATGTATCCACTCTTTGACGTCTTCTAAGCTTGAACATTCACACTAACCTTTATCTTCAAATTGCTGATTCTCTCAAACAACTGTCTACTTTGATATCACTATTCTTCTGTCCACTTGTTTTTGTTTACTACTGTAAAGCGTGGCAACTTGAACCGACGCACTCGTGTGCGAGGTTCTGCGTTGATTCTGGCTATTTGAGATGGACTAGTTCCAGAGATATTTAAAGACAGTGCTCACGGATTTTAATTCAAGTTAAATGAAACGCTAACTAGTGGGTGGAAGTCAGATACGATCCTCTCCGACTGGTCTCAATCACTGATTGTCCGATTCTTCAATAAAAGCAAGAAATACTCCTGTGATAACCACAGAGGAATCAACCTGACGAATATAGTGTCTAAGATCCCAATGTTCTATAATCATCAGACGTCTGAGTTGAGCTCGGGAACACCAAGCCCAACAAAACCAGGCACGATTCAGACTCGACCGTGGGCGCATTGACCAGATATTCATACTCAGCTAGGTCTTGGGACACAGGTACACTTATCGACGCCCACAATAGCTTTATTTCTCGACCCGAAGGCGTCATTCGACTTCGACGATCGACAGGTTTCATAACAGTGTCTCTCACTGAAAGGGGTATCAGATAACCTGAACTTCCCTTCAGTCTCGTCATTTATCACACCAGGTGTCGAGACAGTAATCTGACCACAAACAAGATGTTTTACACACGACTGCCAATCTCGAATGCCTGATTTAGGAAAAGGATAGTTATCATTTACAGGTAAAAAAAATACTTGATTACTATTTAATTACAAGCTCCATACAACGTAACTAACAACAAATATAACATACGGAATATAAAATACTGAACCCATCAAAGAAGAGAAAGAATGATAGAATAACCAGAAAACGGAAAACAGCAATATAACATCTATCCAACGAGCTACCACTACGCTTCTTCGTGTTTTTCTGTTCAGTGACAAGACACCCGCACAATCACTATCAGCTTCGACTATGAACCACTTCGGTTAACTCTCTATGATAATGTTAAATGTGCCATAATATCCTACGAAAAGAGTTCGAATAGACCAATAGGTTAGTTACTCAAACTAATAACTCGTCGCTTTACAGCAATAACTGTTTAGCTCTCATCATTTATCGACCCTTTACTTTGCCAGAAAACACCTATCGTTACGAAAGCGAATGCAGAAACACATTTTGTGTTCAAGTCACCAGATGAAGTTTATAACGATGATTGCTGTTCACTGGTACCCTGTCTAACAGTAGGAAGTGAAATGGTAGAGTCCACTGACCACTTCACTTGTCTTGGAAGTCATATCAGACCTGATGGGTCAGTGGCCAACGAAATCTCTTATCGCATCCAAAAGGGTCGATTGGCTTTCTCCAACTTACGCCATTTATGGCACAGCTGTGATATTCAATTGCTGATTAACGGTTGAGTGTATTACGCTACATTTCGCTCTTTTATACTTTGTGGCTGTGAAACAGCTGTATATTTATGTTAACACACTATTTTGCATTGCCTATTTTAGGGTACCCATGTCGCATCATGATATCAAACTTCATCTGCCTGAGAACAGTACATTGTTGTATGGCTGTGCTCGAAGTAACCTGGTAGCCGTAACTGCTTCGTGATTCTCAGCCTAATTTATTCGGAATATTGTATCCTACTTACGCAAGACCTCATAAAATTTTGCATACAGATAGCGAACTCCTACTCCGAGAAAGAAATACGTACACTGGAACATCTCCAAAGAGACGGTGTGTAGTTAGATATTTCTTCAAAACTCAAAGCCTACTCAATCTACTTTAAACTGGTCATCTAGGTAATTTCATAGGTCTTAGTAAAGAATACAACAGGCTAGCCTAGAGAACACCTCGCTTTGAGCATCCATACCATGCATTACAAATATTCGCCACATCATAAACGACTGTATTAGGATAAGTTGCATTATTATGATCGTTAATCCTATCTTTCCAGTAAAATAAAGACCTTTCCCTATCCTATCGAAGGAAAAGTGATTCAATTTCAATGTGTCATCTATTTGAATAACGCTCTGGATAGTGACGCCTCTAATTTTTAGGCTCTTTAGAGATGATTATCGAGTCATCATACAGAGGTTCAGAAGTCGTGGTTTAATGAGCCTCGAGTGAAACTCAGAATTCCAATAGAGTACTGCCTTAGCGTGAAAATCACGTGGGCTTCTACTATTGCTCACCAGTTTAGGAACTTGGCTTTCAAGCAGTGTGTTCGGAGTTCTAACTCCGCTCTAACCACATAGACCTGAACAACCAGGTAGTATTACAAGGACTCACAAGCGTCTCGAAGCCTAATAGAAATGTCAGACTCATAGCATTTTCTACATTGAGTTACAACTATAGTGCTTTCAGGCTGAACATGACACAGAAGTTATATCAACCCGTTCATTTATGTACAGCCTACGAAAGATTACAAAGACAATGTAGTACCTTGTTGAAAACTGTCTGAAATAAAACTACTGTAAATCCAGAAACTAAATCCAAGATCTTTCCCTTAACAGAGTTTCGTATAAGTAGACCTCTCCTGGAAAAGATTGCATCTACGCTCTTGAATTAAACTTCTGAGAGTAAACTAAAACAGAGAGGATCCGAGGAATATGAATGCATCCAAGAATAGATAGCTTAGTACACTACAATTCATTAAAACTGAGTCGGCGGGTGGAAATAGAGCATACTAGACCGAAACAGTAAACTTGCAAATAATCTTGGACAACCAGTTATATTGCGAGGTGGCTGACCTGTAAGCTATAATAGATAATGTACGCATACAATTTCACATTTATTTTTCAGTACTGGTTGGTCTGACTTTTTCATGAATACTCTGATCCAAAGTTGGGATACTCTTTCAGAACACTTTTCGGAAAATAAATACGTTTAGTTGTTTTCCGTTGTTTAAACTTTGGTGGTCAGCGTTTTACTTAATAATGCTAGTGTATGCTTTTTTTAAAGTGTATATTAAAATGTAAACACTACATTAAGTAGAAAAACGCAACAATACTTTGAGTAGAACCATTACCTGACTAGAATCTTTTGAGTCCAAATGTGCATCAACAACATACACACACGTTTCACAAATTAAAGCCATGAACTGTCCACATGGTGAGCACGACAGAGAACTTATCGTAGAAGAAGGTGGAGGAGTAAGGATCACAGATATCCTAATGCAATCCGCGTTACTTGATGCACTACAATCTTCCATGACAAGACAATACAGCTTGCTGACTCTTTCATCCAGGAAAAATATTTTTACGTGTTCTAGATTACCTATGGTTAGTGAATTAGACACTTTACCTGTGCATATGCCATTCTTGCAAGGCTGTGATACACATATGATTTTCCTCTCAAGCGCTGACTTGTAGTTGTCAAAGGTAGACAAGTTTAATAAGGGTAAAATATCCCTGACAGCTTCAGTAACCCTCATAATCACAACCACCGCTTTGAGTGATGTAGTGTGTGTCCAATATCCAATATCTTTTTACAAGCTAATGTGAACCAGATAATATCTTCGTCCTTGCTTCTAAGTCTCGCGAAACGGTTCTAAGTCTTAGGTGGATTCCGATACATTGGGTCTACCCACTCGCTTGCTGTACCTCTGTTTAAATCCACAGGCGGTTGGGTGTTGGTTAAATTTGTAGGGATTGTGTGGTTTATTCAAAACTATAATGTTTATGCGTTCCTCAAGTGTTGTGCTACCAGACAGTTTGTTGGAATGGTTTTGAAAAAGATTCCAAACCATGTATGGTGAAATCAAGCGAGTGGAACTGAGAAGAAGGAATAAGATGGTAGAAAGCGGAACGGAAGCAGAAACCTAGGTAGATCTATGCGAGATAACGGGGACAGGAAGAGCCTTAATAAACAGAGGAAAACCATCAAGTCAGATAGAAAGGGCGGAGCAGGCAATACTAAAGGACGGATTGTGAAGATAGAAATAATATTGTAATTAGTGGTGATATGGTTAACTAGTCCACTAGTTACTAACCGGTCCTAAGCCCGGATAAAGAGAGAAAACTGTATGTAGGGCTAGCAACCGTACCCCATAAAACCAATCTAACCGCTAAAGAAACTTCAAATAAAATATAAAAAATGAAATTAAACTCATTCCTCACTGGAATCAGAGAGGCGGAATGTGGCCAGTTGGTGAAGGCCTTCGGGAAGCCAATTGGCCGAAGTGTCTTCTCTCGATGAAAGCGAAAGTAAACGTGGGGACATGAAATGCCTACACAATGTTTGAACCTAGCAAGCCTACCCAGACTGCAAAGGAGATGAGAAGGTATGGCACTGAAGTGCTAGGAATTTGCGAAAGCAGATGGAATTGGAGTGGACCCTCCAACCTGTCAACTAGAGAGTCAGTAATCTACTCCAGTCACCCAGATGACAACCATGAGCACTCTGAGTTCTCGATTGGCTATCATGATGTCCCCAACAGCATCGAAGGCTCTCATGCAGTGGGAACCAATCTACTCCAGAATCATAACAGCAAGGTTCAACTCAAAAGGAAGGAAAGTCACAATCGTACAACGCTACGCACCTACAAATAATGCAGATGAAGGGAGGAAGAAGGAATTCTACAGACAACTTCAGTCAACACTGGGCAAGAATTCAGTATGCGATATCGAAATTCTAGTGCTTGGGGTGACATGAATGCCAAACTGGGAGCGGACAACACAGGAAGAGAACTGATCATGGGTCGAGAAGCATTCGGTGAAATGAACGAGAATGGAGACTTGTTCGCCAAATTCTGTGCATTCAACGATTTGGTGAATGAAGGCACTGGGTTCAAGCACAAGGATGTCCACAAAGTGACATGGATATCACCAGATGGAACACTAAGAGTCAGATTGACTTAATCTCAGTCTCAAGAAAGTGTAGACGCAGCCTACTTGGCACAATGTGAAGAAGAGGAGCAGATGTAAGTTCAAACCGCTGTCTAGTGCGAGGAATCTTCCAAATCAAGTTGAAAGCCTTCAAAGAAGCTGGTGATAGACCGCAGTTCAAGTTCAACGCCCAGAACAGAAACTGAAGGGCAAAACTACATAGGACATCTTCACGTCGGTTATCAGAGCAAAATGGGAGAAATTGAGCAACATTCCTGAAGGATCGGGCGTTTGAGGAACACTGGAACTCTTTGAAAGCTATGTGGAAAGAAGCCTGCATAACCGTATTAGGAAAGAAGATAAGGAATGGATCTCAATGGATACATGGAAGCTGATAGAGGAGAGGAGGATGGTGAAGCAGAAGATAAACCAGTGCAAGGATGCTCAACGACAAGAGGAACTGAGCACAGTGTATAAAACACTGGGCAAAGAAGTGAAGAAGAGTGCACGGAAAGACAAGAGACACTTTTACGAAACACTGGTAAGTGAAGCAGAACAGGCTGAAGGTAAGAGAGACCTGACGACACCATATCAAATAACCAGGTAACTGTCTATCTGTGAGGGAAGCGATCAATACAGATGTAACCAATGAAAGATAGTGAAGGAAAGCTGGTTACCAGAGAAAAGAAACAAAGGAAACGACGGGCTGACCACTTCAAAGTACCCTTGAGTAAACCACCACCACTTGCAACTCTTCCGGAAATGCCACCAGCAACGGCAGAACTGCCAGTGAATGCAGGCTCTCCGACAAAAGCAGAAGTCCTGAACGCCATAAGGTTGCTGAAATACGGGAAAGCGCCAGGACCAGATGAATCGCACCAGAAGCACTGAAAACGGACTCAGAGACAATTGCGGACATGCTCACTCTACTACTGCAGAAGGTTTGGAGGGAAAGGAACGTACCTGTCGATTGGAGGAACAGCTACCTGGTCAAACTTTCAAAGGAGAGAGACCTAAGTCTTTGAAAGAACTGGCGCGGAATCACGCTCCACTTCTGTCCACCCGAAGCAAAATATTAAGCCGCTTCATCCTAAGGAGACCAAACAATGCGCTGGATTCAAAATTACCAGCGGGGACAGGTTTGCTGGATCCAGGAAGAACAAATCATGTGTGGACTGAAGCGCAACGCTACACATCATCATCAAACAGGGCATAGAATGTCAGTTAACTCTCTATCTCAACTTCACCGATTTTGAAAAGGCCTCCGACAGCGTTGGTGGGGAAGTAATTTGGTAGTTGTTCCAAAACTGAGAGGTTGTAACGGACTGGATAATGCAGCAAACACTGAGGAGCGAGAAGAGGGAGATACGTTGGACCGATGAAAAGAGCCCAGAAGATTTGGATTTCGCATATGATTATTTGTCTGATGTCCTGTTGGACAAACTCGAAGATCTACAGGCAAAACCTGCAAGTTGACAGAAGAGGCAGCAAAGACAGGACTTCGGGTGAATGTAGAGAAGACAAAGGCGATAAAGATACGCAACCACCATTAACAACAAGTACCAATCACCATCAACGGGAGAAACCTAAGGGAAGCAGTCCTTTTTGCCTACTCTGGTACCGTTGTTTCAACTACAGACGGCACATGCACGGGCGGATATGTGAAAACCAGGATAGGAAAAGCAAGGGAGGCTTTCATTAATCTGAAATTAGTGTGGAGATCTGCTGCACTCAGCACAGAGAACAAGATCCGGATTTTTAACATCAGTGCCAAGTCAGTGCTTCTATGTGATGGCTCAGAAACCTGGCGTGTCAAGAAAAGCACTTCCGACAAACTACAGACACTGATCAAAGGCTGCCTACGCTTGCTTGATGCTGAAGACCAGACGGCCAGAATAATAAGGATAAGCAACAAGGAACTGTGGCTTTCGACGAACCAACCAAGAACCTACCACCCAACAAATGTAAGGAGGACGAAAGCGGAGTTGGACTGGTCATACACTGAGAAGGCTGACCGGGGACATCATACACCGGGCCCTTCGGTGGAACCTGAAGGGGAGACGACGAGTTGGGTGTCCGAGGCCGGGGTGACATGGAGAAGATCATGTGAGGAGGAAATGAAGCTTTGTGGGTAGTCGTGGTGCCGGGTTAAAAAAACTGAAGAGAACAGAGTGGAGTAGAGACGTGCTACTGAAGCTCTATGTTCCACCAGGAACCTAAGGGGAAAATAATAATAGCGGTAGTTTTGACTTTTGAGCTCAAAGCAACGCGATATTTTTTTATCCCTATGTTCGACTTTACAACAGGCAGAGGATAATTTAATTGTGCTTATGGGACGCCAAACAAATATGAGTGCTGTGACTGATCTCTATGGTTGAAAGCAATATGTCCACGCACCTAGCCGCTGTGGCATATTGGACTTAGTATTCTGTCATGACGTCACCGAGGTAACCGCTTACGCTGGTGGAGAACTTTCCAGTAGCTGTCATAGTATGGTATTCTGTTGTCTACATATCCCAACAGTAAATGCGCATAGTAAGCAAGCCTTTTGGGTTATTGAACATCTCAGCCATAAAACTACGGACTGGAAACTGCTCACAGAGCCTCCAAAGTTATCCTTTCTGGACGACCACTTAACCACTGACTCACCAACAACCACAGTATTCCTTATTTATAGGAATGCTACGCCGTGCCTAGATACTGCCACTCCTGTTGAAACAGTGGAGCTTCACTGCCACCCAGGATACATTCCACCCATATACCACAAAAGGCTCAGGCGAATGTCGGATCTGCACCACTCCACTCAGCCTCACTAGCAGTAGTCGCCAGGCACACAAAATAGTTCTTGTGCTTTACTTTGACATATCGAAGGCACCTGACATGGTTTCGCATAATATACTATTCCAAAAGTTATGCGCATTAGGTATTAGCAACCCTTTGCTAAGCTGACCAAAATCATTTCCCAGTGTTCGCATCCAAATAACAAAAATCAGCTCAGCTATTAGACATGAACTAAAGAAAGTTTCTTCCCGGGTGTGTGAATACCCTTCTACAGCTCAACATCAACGAATGCGGACGGATCTCCATTGGTTACAGTAACCTTAACTTGATGTTTGAAGTATCTGGACAACAGTTGCCAAAACTTATTTCTGTCTCAGACCTAGGGCTCAGATATTTCAGTGACTTGAGTTTCTCGGAACAGGCAGCTTGTGGCAAAACTTAGTCACGCACACTCCTACGATGCATCATTTGTAACTTTTATGGTACTGAA